AAAATAATGAGGCTCAAACAGGGCCTAATTATTTACAAAAAAGTAGAATTTTGAATAGTGATATGTGGATAAAAATAGGAATTTTTTTTTGAATTTATGTGTAAAATATTTTATTGTATAAATGTATGGTTGAAAATAAACATATTAAAAAAAGAGTTTAAAAATAATAGTTGTCAAACATGGGTTAGGTTAGAGCTCAACCCCAACTTTCCGGTGCACATACTCAATTTATTTAAATATGTTAATTTAAATTTTTATATGCAGAATCGTCAGTTTAGACATTACACATGACTTTCAATTGAATGAGAGATAGATAAAGTGGTTAGAAGATTTTTTATTTTTTTGGCTGTGAATCATGTGAAATATTTTCTATGTATAATGGTTTTTGTCACGTTGGTATCTAAATTCACATATTTAAAGAAGTTGAAAAATCTAAATCTCATTTTTGATGGTTGATATCCAACTTGGGGAGTCTAGCCCTAATTTACTTTAATTTTTTATTTTGTGAAATTAGGGCAAGGCTCATAATCTTTTTATTAGCGTGATTTTAGATCTTCACGTTTCAAAGGTGAGCTTTCGAATTCCAATGCTAAGTTTGAACCACATTTTTTAGAAAAAAATATGTAATGTTGACTTTTCGAAGTCTAGTTAAAAAATAGAAAAGCTTCAAATTCATATGCAATTTTTATTTTAAGGGAGAGAGTGTGCGGTTAAAAATAAATTTGAAAAAAAAAAAGTTGATAAAAATGTTAACACTTTAAGTGACGTGTGACATCTATTTGTATATCGAAGGTTTCATGTTAACTTCTTATTTGGTGAGGATTAAAATCAAATTTTTAATAAATTTTAATAAAGTTGATGAAATGTATAGTTGAAAAGTTATGAAATCCATAAAATATGTGATTAAAAATAATTGTTAATTTTAGTTTAAATTAAAATTTTAATTTTAAATCATACCAAACAAGGGTAAATATTTTTAAAAAAACTTAGGACTCGAATCATGCCACTTGGTTGGTGAGCAAAAAGGTAATTTTCCTTTTAATTTTTAATTTTATTTTTCTTATCAACGGGATAATGAATATGACTTTTTATCTTATATATATATTTCGTCACCAAACATGTCTGACAAATTTTTATTCATAATATAAACTGAGTCAATTTACGAGAACCTTCCCATTCGCGCGTTGGCTTTCGAATTTTCGTCATTCTTCCACTTGGATTTGTTTTGCAATTACAAGGAAGAAAGTAGATAATATCTAGCAAGTTGCTGAGAATTGACCCAGTAACAAACGGTTCAGATTTAAAGGGAAAATTGCAGCAGAGTTCTGAACTTTTAAAAAAAGAGTAAATGGATCATGGGAATTTTTTTTTTTTAATTTTTTTATCACAGTCATTTCAAGCGCAAGGACTTTTGTTTGGAATTTGTCTAAGAATCTATTAATTAAATGTCTAAATTGAACTTGTCCACCTCTTAGGAGGACGAAATTGTATATCCATCGTCACTTTGAGGAGAGAGAAAAAATCAAAAGAAAAAGGAAAAAAGAAAATCAAGAAGTAAATAAAAATGTCATTTACCTCGCACCCTAGCCCGAAAAATTGTGCCACGACATCCTTGTCTATCGTCGTTACTTCCACCACTCAACGCACCCCCATCTCGTTTCGTCACCATCACATCTGGGGTCATTTCTCTCCCTTGTGACCCTAATGCCTATAAACGGGGCAAATGCATCGCCTTGCCTTAAACGGGTAACTGTGAGAAAATGCCTAGCGGGATCGGGGGAAGGGGAATCGTCCAGCCCTGTTGCCATCCCTACTTGCGACCCTAATGCGAGTAGGAAACGGATCTCACTTTAAAGTGGAAAATGTAGATAGTTGCCCTAAAAGTAGGCAAGTTCAATCTACGTACTTAATTAATGTATTTTTTAGACAGATTCCACACAAAAGTCTTTGTTTTTGCATATTTTTCGACAAGTTTAGATGATCATGCCAATATTAAAGGTTTGGGACTTATTTGAATTTTTCAAAAAGGTTTGAAACACAGCTGCAATTTTCCCTAATAAAAATTGACTTTATGTGACCAATTGCAAAACTATTTTATAATCAAGGTGCCAATAGTTAAAGGTTTAACTTTTATTTGCATATTTCGAAAAGGTTTGAAACACTGTTGCAATTTTCCATAATAAAAATTGACTTTTAGTGAATAATTAGTAGGGATTACAATTTGAATTGTTAAAATTGAAAATCACAATTAATCGAACCGAATGGGGTGGAAAAAAACCTAACCGATGACGCAATAAAGGTGAATATGGTATTTGATATTAATGCCTCGATTCGGGACGGGATGTGTATGGTATTTACGTCATCACCCCGCCCTGAATCGATTACCCTTAAAAAAATTAATTGGGCAATTGGACTTTCAAATATTCTTTTTATGATTCTATCCAACCCCAAAAATTATGACCCATTACATACCTGCTAGGTCCAATTAACCTAACTCAGTAACTCTACACCCTACTACACAAAATATTAAACATTTATGAAAATTGTTCGTTAAATTTGAAATTTTGCATTTGGAAATTGGGATATTCTTTGCATTTTTATTTGTGATATTGTTTGCTAAATTGACATAATATTGTGTTTTTGTTTTCATTAACTTTTTTTTTTTTATAAATCATTTTCTTTTTTAATTTGATGGCTGGACTTATAAAAAATAATTTATTTTCGTAGTTATTAACCGTCTGAACCGAAATACGAACCGAGCTAAACCAAACCTACGTGATTATGATGTGATTATGGTATGACCAAAAAGTTGGTGGTTCGATAATGTTTTTGGTCGAAACGAATCGTTGCCAACCCTACCAATTACAAAACTACTTTACAATCAACATGCACATTTTTACCCTCCAATTTGTTTTACTATTACTACGCGAGCATATGAAATTTCAGATAATTTCTTGAATAGTTGCTCCTTCCGACAAAAGTTATTTAATACAAGTGATGCTTAACATCACTTGTGCTGCATAGTACCATACCATTATTCTTCACACAATAATCAAGTTTTTGCTTGTTCAGTGTAATACAACGATGACTTGGATTGCGACTTATCTTCTATCTATAAATTTATACACTTTACCTACTCACAATATTGAGCCAAGAACATCTACATCACATGATAAAATCATATATAATTTCACAAAGTTGAGGATCAAGGAATCCAAATGAGCATGGATGGTTCCAGGGGAGCATGAACAACTGCTAGATGGCAACTAATATAAGGGGAAAATTTGCGACAACGCTAGCACGAGCGGCAACAAAGGCTCGCGCGGTGCTGGCTCCACCCCCTCAATTCCCACATCAAGCATAATTAGTTGTCCTTTTGTAACAATTTGCTTTTACAATTAGGGTGTGTTTGATTGAAAGTATGAAATTCGTATCGAAAAAAATAAATTCTACGCAATTCAATTGTCTAGAACTTATTTATATGGAAATTATTAATTAAATGTGTTTGATTGATTTATTTTTCAATCTAAAAAATATTTTATTTGTTTATTTTTTATTGGTGGGCAAATGAGAGAGAGCTGATAGATGAGAAACAGAAAAAGAGTAAATTCTATTGAAAACAAAATCTTATTCCCCCTAAAGAAAAATTTTCCTTGATTTTGAGGAAAATATGATCACCTGATCAAAATTAGAAAAATATTTTTCTTGAAAAAATAATGTTAATCAAACAGCACAAAGTAGGAATTTTGGTAGAAAAAATATTTTTTCATTGAAAATATTAGTAATAGGGTACGTTTGATTGCAAGCATGAAATTTACATGCAAAGAAATACATTCTAGACAATTGAATTGTCCATAACTTATTTTTATGGAAATTATTGATTAAATCTGTTTGATTGATTTAGTTTTCAACCTAGAAAATATTAAAATATTATACTTGTCAATTTTTTATTGGTGGATAGATGAAAGAGAATGAATAAATGAGAGAGAGAGAGAGTGATTGACCTAGAAAATAAACATTACACCTCTCTAAAAAATATATGTTCCTTATTTTTGAGGAAAATGTTGTTACATGACCAAAACTTGGAAAATATTTCATAAAAAAATTGTCAATCAAACACCCCCTTACAACTTTTAATACCTGAATAATGATCATTTAGATATCAAATTTCAAATGATTATCCTACAGGAATGGTTCACACAGAGATTACTTGCATGTTTTCTAGTATAAACTAATTCTATATCGATGTAATAATCTAGAGGAAAGCAGAAACTTATTTAAATTTGGCGGTGTCTTAAGAGACTTGAACGTGCAAAGGGTTTGACCGTACAGCTCTGATCCCCTTTAACCTCACCTAGCAGGTTTGGATAGAGAAATCAAGCTTGTAGCTTAGGGCAGACACTGGAGCCAGACCCGACCCTGACCCAAGGCCAACTAGGCAATGGTCTTGGGCCTCAACATTCTAGGGGCCTCCTAGGGAAAAAAAGGGGAAATTTTCTAGTGTACCCTACAAAAAGAAAGAAATTCTAAAATTACGAAGATTTTATTCCCAAAATACTTGAATTTTGGGTTAAATTTTCATAATAATTGGAATCTATCTATAGCGTTAATTAAGGAAACTAACACTGACTCCGCATAAATGGAAAATCTTTCAAAACAATTCCATAATAATTGGTCAAATTGAATATGACAATAAATTTGTGTAATTAAGGCTAAAACTGGGGAGATCGGATTTCCATAACAATTGGAACCCATATATGTAATTTTTGTACTTCTAAGCTTTATTTCGTCATCTATTATTTATTTATAAATATTTAATTTAAGTATTGATTGGTATATAATATACATTTATATATCATCATGTAATATATATTTATGGGATTTTGAATAGATGCTCAAAAACTCTATCGGAAGTACAAGAGATCAAGACA